AAATTTTAGATTATCTATATAATTGTACACAAGATAAATGTTATTCACAACATCTATTCCACATAGTTTAATTTTATTGCATTCTAAACTTATCATGAGCCTCCCAACACTACAACAAACAACTAATTATTCAATTTATGGTCAATCAATTAAATAATGCAATGTGTATACAAAATTAATCAATAAACACAACATTACTAAATTACTAGTTTTGAATTAAAATAAATAAACAATAAGGTTTATCTCTATCCAATACCAAAACGAATCTGACCTAGCATGATTTTAAATAAATTATAGAAAGAATAATAGAAAATATCACCTCAATCATGAAAATAATGCAAAAGATGTTGATCTTCAAATTCAAGGTTGAAATCCTCAATTACTTGATGCAATTGACGTAATTCCTGCTAGGGTTTGGTCCTCTCTCAAAAGTGATAAATTGACCTCTTATTCTTAATGATTTTTATTATATTATTGTGCATAAGAGGTAAGTACCATGTTTTGTATTTATAGAAGTCCAAAAATCAAGCCAAACACATAAAGAATTTGAATTACAAGCTGGGTCCCAGAAATTACAAGCTTGGTCCCAGAATTAACATTGAGCTTGCGTCTGAATTGCCCACGACGCGCGGTGGCTCACGTTGGTTCGTCCCCTAAGCAACCTTCGGTAGTTTGGTCAAAACTTTCTGTCATAATATCCAATTTAGATAATTCAAAGTGTTGAAAAACTAACTTGAAGGACTACAATTCGTTTTGAAATAGCATTTTTTCAATCCGAATGTTGCTAAAAATGAGTCTTAATTTGATACTGAAAATCTGGAACATAACATTGAATGTTTTCACTTTAGTCCTCGAACTTTGAATTTCTTCGTTTTTGCCCTTTTTCGTCTATCTCTTTCAATTCCACCAATTTGTCACGAATTTTACCGAACAAACAAAATTAACATCTAATTGAACCATGAGTTATCAAAATTTCTGCATAGTATTCAAACCAATTTCATGTTCAACGTTGAGTTCTAGCGTGCTGTATGAATGAGCCTGTAGATAAGCATGCCTTCAAGGATGTAAATTTTATTCCTTGATTGAGTACTATATATTGAACTCTTAAGCGTTCCATTAAGGATTTTCATCAGTTCAACGGGTATACTGCAACAACTTACTTGGAATGTAAATTTTAATGGCTCCTAGCCTTTTCAGTAATTTTGGGATGTTGACATGAATGCTGTACCTAATTACGTACATATGCATGATATATTTCACATCAGAATCACCTCGGGAATGGAGGTATGTACTTTCACTGTTTATACTATTGATGCATATATGCTGTGAAGTCTTTATGAGAGGACTAGAACCTGGACATGATTTCTAATTAAAACAGATCCTCCAAAGAATGAAATAGATAATTAATGTGTGTAATGAATAGAAGTACGATTTTGTATTCCAGTTAATATAAAAAACGAAAAAAGCAATGTAAGCATAACAAATGTAATCTATTAGCTTATCGTGCTTCCATTTGTGTAACAGTCATTAGGTTTATTGAGCTTGGCGCATTTGTGCGACTTGACCTTTCAGCCATAAACAAATCCCTTTCTGTGAAAAAACCAGGTTGCTTAGCTTGAGGCAACTCAACTTCATTCCCAAGCATAAACACTACAGAAGACATGCTTGGCCTGTCATCTGGACATTGTTGAACACACAACAGTCCCACATGGATCGATCTCTGCACTTCTGATAAATAACATGAAATGCCAAGGTAATCATCGACGAATTCCAGTGACCTTCCTTCTTTATGCAGCATCCATGCCTGTAATAATTGAACTCAATTAAAGGACCATCTTTTTGAATCCAAGAGCCGTAGGGGCTAATTTCATTACAATGTGAGTATACACTAACATGTCCAAGAAGGTTGTGGTGGTGATCTCTATGAGAAAATCCTCTATTTCTTTTGCCACTTACAATCTCAAGCACCAAAACGCCAAAGCTAAATATATCTGATTTCACAGAAAACATGCCATCTATAGCATATTCTAGGGACATGTAGCCACTGCATGATAAAATTTATCAGGCAATTAATTTATAAGCAATAGAATAGCATTTCATAAATTATGGGACTGAGATTCTTACTATGTTCCAACTACTCGGCTAGTATTAGCTCCAGTCTCGTTTCCTCCAAAACTTCTAGCCATTCCAAAGTCTGATATCTTTAGGTTCATATCAGAATCTAGCAAAATATTACTAGCTTTGAGGTCTCTATGGATGATTCTGAGACGGGAATCTTGATGGAGATACATAAGTCCCCGAGCAATACCATTTATAATAGGAAAGCGCTTAGGCCAATCAAGTACTGCACTTCGCATTGGATCTGCCAAAAAACTTTCTCTTCTCATGAGGATAATTTGATGGGTAATTGGAAATGAGTAATCAAATCCAACATCTACAATGACATAACTTCAAGCACACAGGAGCATGAAACTTCCCATGTTGCAAAAGAATAATTTTCTGTACCCTATATTACAATTGATCGAAAAATTTTATCTTCAGGACTTGAAAAATGTGTATGAAACAACTTTCTGTCATTAAGTGTAACTGGTACTCCTGATAGAATTAGCTATAAAGATAATAGTGCGAAGTGAATATTTCATACCGAATAGAAACAAGTCAAGACTTTTATTGGGCAAGTATTCATAAATCAACATCTTTTCTTCTCTTTGAATGCAGCATCCTAGAAGTTTCACGAGATTTCGATGTTGCAGTTTAGCTATACAGATAACTTCATTCATGAACTCATTGAGTCCTTGGAGGGAATTTCTAGATAGCCGTTTGACAGCAATTTCCTGCCCCTCCTCCAGTTGGCCCTATATCAGAAATTATACATGTAAAATGTATTTGTTTTGCAAAACGGCAATTTGCATATCATCTTCCACTCACTTTTCAAGTGACCTAGTGTGACGTTGA